CCAGACTTAGGTTCTGAAACCTAGAAATTCACACTGAGGTTATTTTTGTTTTGCTTTTGTTTTTCAAACTTGTGAAGTCTGCTTTTATCTGTCATTTGCAGGACAGAATCCTGAGGACACCTAAAGCCATTAGAAATTAAAGTTACAAGTTTTCATGGTTATTTTTAAAGAGGTTCCATGTTTCTAGGAATCTTACATTTTCCCCCTCTGGTGCATGGCAGGAGACCCTGCCCCTAGGAATGAATCATAAACCCTTCTCCATAAGGCCTAGACCTTCTTCCTGGCAACCCTTTCTAGACTACTTTCCCCAACTCAGAGAGGAAAGCAGTGAGCTTCCTCTTTCGTTGACCTCAACTGTATCATGATGTTGGATTTGAGTAGTGAGGGCAGAAGACCCAACGCTAATTCAGACTTATAGAAAGCTGCCTCACATCCTCTTGGCCCACCTTGTTCCAGCTATTGCTCCTTCAACCAGCACTACAACTCATGCCTCGTTGGCCCTATGTTTTGCTTTCTTTCTGACCTGCTTGCAAGTCCTTGTCCCAAGCTTTGCTTTGGGAGAGGGCATGGGGAATGCATGCTGGTTTTCATATTAAACCAATTAATGTATACCTGGGAAGGTCAATATTGCCATGTAATTTATGCCCAATTCAAATAACAACTATTTCTTGATTTTTCCATTATTAAAGGAATATAGTGATTGTGGAAAAAGCCCCAAAAGAGGATGTGTGGGTTCCAGGTTAGCCACTAATCTACACTATTTAACATTTTTTTTTGTTTTTTGTTTTTTGGTTTTTTTTTAGGCAAAGCATCCCTTGGTTTGACCTCACAGATTGCAAGGACCTTGTCAACTACAATCCCTTATTTTTTATTCTTTTATGTCTACAGCACCTGGTCTTCGTAGGTGGTCTCCCATCCAAGTACTAACCAGGCCTGACCCTGCTTAGCTTCACACTACTTAATCTTTCTGAGCTCAGTACCTGATCTACCAAAAAAAAAAAAAAAAAAGACTTGGATTACATCATTTCTAACATCCCTTCCAGTTCCACACTGTATATTTGTGAAATAAAAGCATCTGGGTGACTATAGTAGTTGCTTTCCCCCTCATTAACCCTAGGGCTTGTTTACTCTAAAAATATGGCAACACTTTAAAGCAACTTTAGACAGGCAAGTGAATCAGCCTCCTGAAGGTCTAGATTAGAAAATGGGCACCTATTCAGAACCTCAAAAAACAATAATGCTGAGAAAAAGAGACCAGCCAGCTTCTTTGGGAGTCAGCAAACATTAGCAGGGGCTGCAGCATTAAGATAAGAACAGAGTAATGAGAAAGTGAGTTGTAACCAACTTCCCTGACTGCATTCCAGCGGTCACTCAGTGATTCATCACATCCCTAACAGGCTTGATAAATGAACTCCAACTGTTGAGACTTTTTTCTCCCTTAGAAGTTATTTGGAAACTTGGCTTGGGAAAATGCTTCTACTTTGAGGAAAATAAGGCAAAATCTTGCAAGTGTCAGAGACAAGAAATAAAAATATTAACAGATGCAGGCTTCCATAAATCCCAAATGAAGGAGCATCAATTCAGAAAAAGAGGGAAGATCATGATAGTTAAGTCAAACATGAGAGCCACAAAACATGCAAAATAAATAGGCTATAAAGCGAATGTGGTGGTAGATGTAGCCATTTATAAGACATAAAAGATATTCACAAGATATAAGATGCTTATAAGACATAACATAGATATTGCTACTCCATTTTACACATGAAGAGGCTCAGAGAGGTAAATAGTTTGATGATGCACAGCTAGGTAGTGGCAGAGCTAAGGTTTTAATTGTTTTTAGCATTTTATTTTATTTTATTTTATTATTACTTTCAAGTGCACAGTACATTGGTTAGATATTTATGTAGTTTATGAAACGATCCCCTTGATTACTCTATCATCCTTCTGGCTCTACACATAGCCATTACACTAATGCTAACTGCATTCCCTATGCCATGCTCCCCATCCCCATGACCATCTATCAAAAGAAGTACTAATTTGTACTTCTTTAATACTTCACTCCTTTCTTGCAACCACTTAACCTCTGCCTCCCCTCTGGCAGTCACCATATTGTCCTCTATACTTGTATGTTTTTGATTCGTTTGTTCTTTTTGTTCCCTAGATTCTGCATATAAGTCAAATAATATGGTATTTATCTTTCTCTGACTTATTTCACTCAGCATAATAGCCTCTAGGTCCATCCATATCATTGCAAATGGTAGGATTCCATTTTTTTATGGCAGAGTAATATTCCATTGTATATATGAACCATAACTTCGTTATCCAATTGTCTGTTGATGGGCATTTAGGTTGCTTCCATATCTTGGCTATTGCAAATTGTGCTGCCATGAACATAGGGGTGCATTATCTATTTTAAATTTTTTGAGGAACCTCCAGACTGTTTCTCGTAGTGGCTGTGCCAATTTGCAATCCCACCAACAGTGGATGAGAGTTCCCTTTTCTCCACATCCTCACCAACACTTGTTGTTCTTTGATTTGTTCATGATAGCCATTCTGACAGGTGTGAGGTGATATCTCATTGGGTTTTAATTTGTATTTCTCCGATGATTAGTGACCTTGAGCATCTTTTCAAATATCTATTGGCTAAAGGTTTTAATTTTTTAAATATATTTTTAAAATTAACATTTATATTTAACAAAGTAATACATACACAGTTAACAAATCAAACTACTAAAAAGCATACACTTGACCCTTGAATAACTTGGATGTGCCGACCCCATGCAGTTGAAAATCCACATATAACTTTTGATGCTCCAAAAACTTCTATCACCCCTCAGTATCCACGGGGGGATTGGTTCCAGGACCCTGGCAGATACCAAAATTCGTGGATGCTCAAGTAACTTACATAAAATGGTGTATAACAATGCATGTAGTCAGCCCTCTGCATCCTCGGATACCCAACAGAGGACTGAAAATACTGTTTTTGATCCATGGTTGGTTGAATCCACGGATATGAAACCCACAGATATGAAACCCACAGATACAGAGGGCCAACTGTATTTATTAAAAAAAATCTGTATAAGTAGACCTGCACCGTTCAAATCTGTGTCGTTCAAGGGTCAACTGTTTAATAAAAAAAGACAGTGTTTTCAATATTGCTGCCTTTTCATCCTTTGACTATATTTCCTAATGCATTCATTTGATTTTTTTTTTATTTTGGCTATTATATTTTTAACTTCCAAGAGCTCTTTCTTCTTCTGTGGTCATTCCTATTATTTTTGAAAACATTCTGTTCTTGTTTCATGGATATAATACTTAGCTCCCTAAGGGTATTAATAATAGTTTTTTGTTTGCTTCCTTTCCCTGTTTTCTCTGATTCTATTTTTTTCTATTGGTTTTGACCTCTGTGTTTCATATGAGAGGCTTTCATCAATGTTTTGTGACCCTTGGTATATGTATGTAATAGCAAAACATTAAAAGGCTGAGCAGGAGCTGTATGTGTGTGTTCATTGCATGGGATACACTTACATAAACATTGCACAAGACATATTTACACTAAGACATTATTCATTGTTTATCTGAATGCAAATTTAACTGGGCTTCTTGTATTTCTATTTGCTAAATCTAAGAACCCTGGGTGTGTAGCTTATGGATTTCTAGTTTCTGGGTGACTGGGCTATGAGCTATGGGTTTTTAATGCAGAGACTCCTTCCATTTTACTTCATCCACCTTCTGAGCTTTGCATCTCATTCCCACCTTGTACTTTTCCGAGTCCAGAGCTCTTTCTTCTATTTCTCCAGAAAATAACCTTCTGGCCTTCTCCAGGAGTGACTATGTTGGTGGAGGACTTTATGGGCTCTGAGTATTCTGTAAACTGACTTTTTAGTAATCTCTCTGTTTTAAGCCTTGAGTGTCACATTCACTTTTCATGGCAATTTTTGTCTCAAAGCACTGAGCAAGGTTCTGCAAGGCAAACTGGCTTTTTTTCTCAAAGTTGTCCTCCTCTGTATGCCAATCTATATAAAGGTATTACAGAGATGACGTTAGGGAGCATGAAGTACAGTAGAGAAAGGAGAACATGGGCTTAAGAACTCACACATAGGATCAAGGAGAAAAGAAACCTATAAAAGAGCCAGAAAAGGAGAGAGAAAGGGAGCTGGATATTGGGGAAGAAAAGAGTAGAAATTGACAATGGGAAGTCAGCAAACCTTCAGATGCCGCAAAGAAACTAGGAAATATCAGAAATGAGTAAAGGACATTGAATTTGGGGACAAGGAAGTCTCTGGTGACCTCTGAAAAGTACAATTTTGATAGAAAATGAAGGTGGATTCTGTTCTTTAAAGTGTAAATGGGCATTAAGAAAATAAAGGTACTACTGTGCTCCATTTATTTTAAAAGGTAGGCAGTAAAAGAAAGGTATATTGAAAAGCGATTAAATATCTCCATGGGGTCAAGTGAAAGGATTTTTTAGGAAAGGGAAGTTGTTTGGTCTTCAAGAGAAAACTGAACATATCAGTGAAGAAAGAGATTTCCAGGCTGCCAGAAGAGGTGGTTCCCGATGAAGCAGGTCTAAGAGGAAATGAGAGGGGTGGAATTTCCAGCTCAGATGGAGGCCTGAAATTGGATAAAAGGGAGTAGAGGAGAGGTACAGAATGAGGACTTGGATTTCAAGCTTTCGGCCACAAATCTTTTCCGTTAGCATCATCGGTGCCATTATAGACCTGACCAGAAATAATAGTCTGAAATAACAATCCTTCTCTAAAAGTGGCCATCACTTGGTTTGAATCAAAAGTCTCAAACAAGGCTCATAAAACAGAAGAAAGATATAAATCCCTTGATTGTAGCCCTGCTTTTCTTGTAGATACCACCTTAATGAAGTTCATCTACACATTGATATTAGTGCTAGAATAACAAGCACCCCTCGATATGGACCTGAAAATTGGTTACAGGATGAAACTTTACATATCCATTTGTCAAATAGATCAAATGCCAATACCTACTCAAAGTACAGAGTGAGATCTGTTGCCAATATTGACTGCTTCAAAAGTTGCATGAGGTCACTGTATTCCTTGGAGGACAAATTAGCAAAGATGTTGTGACCCTGTAATGAGAAAGAATAAAGTCACAAAAGACATCATTAAATCTGAGGCTGTTGATTATATGTTTTTCCTGTATTAAAACATATACACATGGGAACATGATAAAACTATTTTTTTAAAGCTTAATGAAATTGTATGCAAATACAAACAGATTCCTTGGCAAACACAGCAAAGCCAGACAGTGCAATCGTTTTTGATGAAATTGACCAAGGGACACTTTATTATGTCTAGTCTTGAAAAGAAAACTCTGAAAAATGTTTGAACTTGTCTTACTTGGGATATGTTTGTGCCAACAACTTCACTTGACTACCCATGGCCTGTGAAATCACTGAGTGTAGAAGCTGACAAAACATTTGAGAATCTTTCTGACCCTAAAATAAATCCTAGTTTCACTAGTAAAGTCTCAAGTTGGCGTTTTGAAAGTACTTGCTATGGCAACAAATAACTTCAAGGAGGAGAACAAACATTAGACCAGTTGTTCTTAACTAGGGGTGATCTGGGCAATGGGGACTTCTGGCAATGTTTAGAGACATTTTTAATTGTCACCCTGATGAGCGTTGCTACTGGCTTCTAAACATCTTATAATACACAGGACAGCCCGAACAACAAGTCATAACTGCTGAAGTTGAGAAACCCTGTGAAGATCCATCTTGATGAAGTGTGTGGTAGAATAAATTCAGTACATAATTACTGAGTAGCTAGAATTATGTATAAGATACTGTTCTTGGCATAGTTCTTGGAACTAATGATGACATTTTCCTAGTATCACTTGCAAATACATATGTATCTCCACGCCTTTGAAAAGCACACTTCTGTTCATCAATATTTGTTTTACACTAGGCAGCTCTACAGTGATTTTAGTAAAGTGAAAAATCCTTCTGTAAAGTGACTGACAATCTACTTAATTTTCTTCGAAGGTCAGGACTTTGCATTTATCAGGTTTTTTGTTTGCTTGTTTTTTGTGTTTTTTTTGGGGGGGGGGAGGCGGGGAGCATGAATACTAACTCATAAACATGTGGCCCAGGAATTGGACCAGTTTTAAACCTAGTGTTGAGAGCCAGAAGATGGTGCAGGAGGAAGGGGGCAGAATGACTGCCTGAGAATAAAATATTCTCCAACGAGAGGTAAATTAATTCTTTCAGGGAATCAGAATATCAATTAGTAAATTACCGCCTACCAGGCACCAGATGATAATCTGCTCCCCTGCGTTAATTTATCTCATTGGGTGAACTCGCCGCTTCTTAAAGACTAGAGTATATTGGTTCCGGTTGGGATCAGATCCAATATTAATAATAATTTTCAAATGAACTCTTCCAGACCCTTAATTCAGCCATTAGGAAGAAGACAAATAACTAAAGGAATGCCACACCATAATTCTGCCAGGGTTTCTTTGCCTGAGCCTCGCCCCATGGATCGATCACGGGCTGGTGTACTAAGGCCTGGGAAAAAGTGGTTGGAAGCTATGAAAATCTAGGCACAAGAATCCAGCCACATGTCTAGCATCCGGCAGTGAGAGAAATACTGGCACACCTCATTTTGTCGCACTTTGCTTTATTGCACTTCACAGTTTTTGCAAACTGAAGGCAAGACCCTCCACCAGCAAAAAGATTAGGACTCACTTTATTGTGATACTAGCTTTATTGCAGTGGTCTGGACCCAAATCCGTAAAACCTCCAAGGTATGCCTGTACAGCTGTTATGAGCAGTAAAAAGTTACAGTAAAAATATGAATTCCCGGAGAAAGCTGGTCTAAATGTGAGGATCTTGATTATTTTGTGAGAGAGTGCATTTTACCACCTTTAAATGACTTATAGTAACTAACATGATTTTCAGCTGACACACTGACAAAGCTAGCCAGATCAGCTTTCATAATAACAAAAAAACATCAATTTGCAGTGTATTGTTTAGATGCAAACTGGCCTTCTCCAGTGCCTCAAGGGTTTGCTTCCTGAAATAGATTTGTCTCCTTGAAATACTGCTTCCACTTGTTGTTTAGGGAGGAGTGTGGAATTGACGTAAAGAGAACCAAGTTGAGGGAGAAAGTTCTGGGGCAACATTGTCAGGCCATCTAACCTCTCTGTGCCTCTGCATCACTTGGAAAGTGGAATGATAACGACTTCTACATTTTTGCCTTTCTGATGGGCAGGATGTGTGTGTGTGTGTGTGTGTGTGTGTCTGTGCGTGCGTGCGTGTGTGTGTGTGTGTGTCTGTGCGTGCGTGCGTGTGTGTGTGTGTGTGTGGCAGAAGCACCAGGGCAGGGCCCGCATGCCCCAGTTGCACACTGCATGGCTCCATTATTATTATTCTGCGTTCTTCATAGATAATTCTGGACTGAAGGGCAACTAATGTATTTCGTTGGTATGGAAACAAATTCTGAGTTAGTGGGGTCTGTTTCCAAACGAATGACCTTTCGAGAAAACCTTGACATCCTGTTTATAATCCTTGTTATTACAGAGGTGGGAGTTCCTGGGGTCAGAGGTATAAATCCACTGTATTATTAGTACAGAAAGGATAGTCTGAACCCAAGTTCCTGCGGTCCTTACCTTCCTCTTTCACAGCAATTGGCTAAACCAGTGTTTCATGGATTATTCCTGAACCACAGATGCCAGGATGCTGGTTTCTGTCAGAGTTACTGAGAGCCTAACCCTTGATATTTTCTTCCCAACTGAAAATATAGCTCCTCCAGAGAATTTGCCCTTCTGCAGCCTCACGCAGGTTCCAGAGTGCTGACTCTCTTTTATGGGGTCGAAGAAGGCTTTCATGATACTGCAAAAGGCATGCCTTTTCAAGATAGGCTGGAGGAAAAAAACTTCCATATTTAATGATGCTATTCCAGTGAAGCAGGGCCTTAATGATGATAATAATAATAATTAATGGCACAGCTAGAGAACTGACAAATAATGAGGAACAGATGATCCTTTCTTGGCCTCAAAAAAAAAAAAATTCTGTACGCCTGCAGAAAATTAAACAGATCCTTTCCTGGCAATTTCGAACTCTTACACGCCTCAGCCAGAGTCAGTAAGTGGTTTTTCTTTTTCTCCATGGAGAGCTAAAAGTATAAAACTACTTCCAAGTCCTGCAATGCCACATGCAGCAAAATAAGGCATATGGCCTTAGCCCTGGGTCTCAAGTTTAGTTGCAATTCTCACTTTCGAAGTGGTCCCACCAGCAATTTTAAGTTCTTATTTTATTATAGGTTTCTCAATTGTGCTAATAAAGTGTAACTTTCTCACCCTCTTTCTGCTTCTATCATTTTTAAAATGGCTTTGGGTTCACTCCTTGTGTTAGTGGGCTTCTGTACCCCTTAAGGAAGGTATGACCATGCTCTAGTGACAAGCTCTAGGCAGTCTCCTCTGCTAAGTGAATCTGGAAAGCCTTCAAACCAATAATGAAACCCAAACAAATCAGCTCAGGTAGAATTTGAACAAGGTCTTTGGTCAGGCATCTGAATAAATAAAAAAAAGCCATGAAGAAAAGGTTCAATAGTTTGTCTTAAAAATATTGTTTCACTTCTCAGTGCCTACCTGTGGCACTACAAAGAAAGGGAGGTCAGAAATATTGTTTCACTGGTTTTGTGTCAAGGGAAGAAGCAGAACGTCAGGTCTGTACCTCACTTTGAAGGATCATCACGGCGTGGTTAAAGTGGTGGTGCTCTAAAGTAGCAGAGGTCCCATAGAGTTGGGCCAGGGCAGAGCCACTCCTGAAAGAGGACAGAAGGGTCAGTGACCAAGGCTCTTCATCTGTCAATGATTCCCCACGCCAGCCCTTTGGATCAAACTGCTTTTCCTGTTTTGGCAAAGGACCATGAGCTGATACATTCTAACTGCTTGTGTAGTTCACTAATCTATTAAGTAAACCTTTCATGAAACTTCTGTGTGTTAGGCTAGATGCTATGGATGATACAACAGTGAATAAGACTCAGCCCACGATTCTAAGAAATTTACAGACTAGTAAAGATGAGACGTGATCAAAGGGAAACCGGTGCACATAACACACAAATACCACGGGAAGTGTTTCAGGTTCAATCAAAGTGCTTTGGATGATCTGAGGATAACAGATATATTTTTTTGGCTTTGGGGATCAGGGTAAGCTTCATAAACTAAACCTTACACAGCTTCAGAATGTCCAGAACAATGGTCTTATATCAAATGTATTTGAATCTCTACAGGAAAAGACTTTGTGAATATTTTGCATTTGATCTGCTAGGTTTACAAGCTTCTACTATGGTTTACCAGCCCTAGTCACACTATGATATCTCAGTGTAGAACTCTAGAAAGTTCTTTAGATTTAGAGTCAGACTTCAGCTCTTGGTAATAGCGGTTTCTTTGTTTCTAAAATTATAATAATACTGTCTACCTTACCAGTTATTTATGAGAATACAATAAAATACTTGAAAGTGCCCATCACAGTGCCTGGCAGATAGTAGATTGTAGTCTATGTTATTAATCAATAATTAAAACACATTTAGATACTTCCATTTAAAATAAATAAGATGATAATTGATGCTTGAAAGGCTTATTTTGAATTATCTTTAAATTTCGCTTTATATATATATGGTTGTTATATATATATATATATATAAAACAACCTGCTCCTCAACAATGTCAGTTCAGCAAAGTGTTCATTTAAAATGTTCAGGTGTGCTCATTTCCAATTCTTTTGGAGTAGGATGTAGAGCATCCAAAGAGTCGAGAGAGATCTAGAGAATCCTAGGATTTAAAGTGCAGTCTTGGGACTCGGTTGAGGACTCATCCAGGTCTTCGTGTTCTTTCTTGCTCATTGCAAGGAGTTTGGACATTGAAAGGTCAATTTGACCTTAACTTGGGAACACTGGAGACTGACAGCTCGCAGTCTGCCTTGCTAGTGAGAGGAGCGAAGACTGAATCTAAGTGCAGCTTGAAGGATTTCTGTCATAAGCTGCCCTCCATCTCCAGTGTGAGCCACTCCCAGATCACGGCCACTTTGGGGGCTCTTGGAAAGACTCAGAGCTGCCACATGTTGGAAAAATGACAGCAGAGTTAGGTTCTGTAGGGATTGTTATGAATAGGGTTAATAACGAGGGTACTAGATTTTAATCATATATATTATTTCTTTAAATCTTGCCTTAATCTATATAATTTAATAAGAGAACATTTGTTAGGCTAATCTTGGTAACCAGTGATTAATATTTAATGTTAGTTACTATTTTTTGAACTTAGAGTTCATTTTGATGAAAATTCATTTTTTAAAAAGCACACTGTATTGTGTCTTGTTTATATTTGTCTTGGCTTTTGAAATTCAAGGATGTTTTATATGCATATCACATCCGAATGCCTGACGTGGAGTAGGAGCTTAAAAAAAAATTAGCTGCTTGGCTAATAAGCTTGCAGTGGTATGTCTAGAGATTATAGTTAAAATTGGAAGGTTGACAGTAATGAGTATGTTAACATATTTTATAATAATGTTATTAATAATAATAGTTATCATTAATAAGTACCTATCAGGCACTAGCCAACAGATTAACAGCTTAATACATTATTTCATCTAGTCCTGACAATAACCATGAAATTGTACTGTCTTCTCATTTTATCGATGAGAAAATCGAGGATCAGAGAAGTTAAGCTACTTTTCCAAGGCCACAAAGCTAGTAAGTGTAAGTTATTGATTGGAATCCAAGTTTTTAAGCTTCTCATTATATAATAAGAAAGCTAATTATAACTTATACATATCTGATATTTGACTCTCAATTTTTGCCAAGCTGGTTGTCACCAATGAATGATTTCAAAATTTAATTCAGAATTCTATTGGTATAACTGCCTACCACAGGCTCAGATTTCCTGTGATTCATTTCTACTAATCGGCCATGCCGAGATGTGCCTCTCTTACTGGTGTGAATTCCAGTAACAGAGTCATTGATGTAAAGTAGGGTCAAGTTGAAAAATATTATCTCTTCCTTTATCATGTTGGTTTAGCAGAACTTACAAAGTTAAATCAGCTAGATTATCACAAATCACTTTATATTTTCTTTTTTCAGGATGAATAGAATGTTTCCTCCTTTAACTAGGGAACAGCTCATGACAGATACATTGGGGCCTCCCACGCTGCACCTCTCCCTCGCCCCCAGACCCATGTGGCTTCCGAACTGCTGCATTTCATCAGAAGGACTCTCAGGGTGTTTGTGCACATGCAGCCATCTAATTGTCTATGGTTTGAGCATCTTCATCATCAGACTCCCTGTTTGTTCCCTTTTGCAATTCCATCTTACATTCTCTCCACCCTCACACAATACTGAGTTAATCATAAAAATAAGTAGACTAATGCTTTGAAAGTACAGAAAGATATTGTGATTCATTCATTCATCTATTATTCCTTCAACCGACTCTTGATGACTGTTATGATGCCAGGCTGCCGGCCATGTGGAAAGATGCATACAAAGATAAGTAAGACGTGGCTCTTACCCTCAGGAAGCTCACAGTCCCCCAATTTGTGTAGGACACTTTCTCTGACTAGACTTGCACTAACAATGGTCACCCTTCTGCAAGCAAGGTGCCATCCGAACATTCATAGGATGGAGCAAGGCACTAACTCTGCTCTGAGTTTTATAGAGTAAAATTATCTAAGCAATGATGCTTCCATTTCCATATGGATTATTTATTTACACTATTAGATTTGGTTTCTGTCAGATTTTCTAAGACTGCAAAACCTTTCGGTGCTTTCTCTCTAAGGACAAGGCTTACTGAGAATGCTCCCTATACCTGCTATTACATACACACATGCTGTGAATCTCCTGGGATGGAAAGAGT